TTAATTGTTGAGCGTAGAAGTAGGTTCGGGTATAGCTTTCTAGACTAGCCCAGTCCTATTTATGTGACTCAACTATATACTGGTTTTATTGTTCACTTATTTGTTTGATTTGTTTACTTTAATTCATTCATGCATGCATTCATTCATTAATTCATTCATTCATTTGAATTGAATTGAATTGAACTGTCACTTCACTTCACTTCACTTCATTCCTTCATTTTCATTTCATTCGTTAATTGACTCATGCATCATTTCTTCCTTCTTTCGTTTTAATTTCATGTTCAATTTCATTTCATTTCATATGATTTTCCTGCTTGTTTTTTTATGTGTTTTTATTCATTTGATCACTGCTTCGAATGGAATATTGCTCTTCCCTCTACGCGTTTGGGTCCGTCTTTTTACTAATGTTTGTTTTTGTTGATACCTCGCCCGTTAATGGAATATTGCTCTTCCCTCTGCACGATTGGGTCCGTTTACTTTTTGTTGCTTCATGTTTTTTAAATCTTGATCCCCTGAAATATATTTATTGTTTTATTATAGTTTGATTAATTTTGTTTTTTTTGTTGATCCCTCGCCCAGGATGCCACTTTGGCGTAGGGGGGCAGTTATTGTGGGTTTGTTGGCCGGTTCACCTGTTGGTTGGATGGCCTCAAGCGCACTGGAGGTCACCATGTCACAATGTCACAATGACTGCTTGTTGGTTTGTTCAAGGCACCTGTTGTTGGAAGTAGAGGCTCAGTAGGACACTTCTGAATCTAGTGAGATGTTTTCAAGCCGCAGTTTTGTTACACCGATGTCATCCAAAGTTGTCAAACCAGCGCGTACAAATCACAATTGCAACTCATTGAAGCCTGATGTGGCCTAAGGCAACCTGTGGATGATAACATTCTGGAAGTCAAAGACTTTGAACATTTCCTGATGAATCGCATCAAGGTGGAAGCCCATAATCTGTCGGACCTGCAATCGACTACACATCTTGTAGGGTTTGTTCAGCGTAAAGGATGTGAATACAGTGTGCAAGACACTAATGTAAGCACTTTGCCACTCTTCATGTCACTAGACACGCTGCATGTGCTGCAACTGGTCAGCTGATCTCACTCCTCGATGACGAGGTCGATGGAAAGACAGGCAACTTGGGCGACAAGATCAGTATCTCCCGGGAGAAGGCGAAGGTCCATGTGACAGCGCAGGCTCCTTTCTCCAAGCGCTACTTGCGGCTCAGCATGGACAAGTTTGACATAGGGTGATCAACTGCTATGGGTCCGTACATGTCGGTGCACGTTTCACAGTCTTGCAGAAAAAGGCTCCAATCCCACACCAGACCTTTTGCACCATGGAACTTAAGATCCTAAACCATCCTAAACCAGCTACTGATGAAGTAGGCGGGGATACTGTCCATGCAACACACTGTGTTGCGGAGCGTTCACTCTTGCTATTTGAACGCTGGCAAGGAAGTACTTGGGCAAGAAGTATTTGAAGTCGCAGAACCTTCGGGATTTCCTGCGGATCGTGGCGCCCAACAAGAACTCCTACGAGATGCGGTATTTCAACATCAATGATGCTGACGAAGAGAATACTGACTCAGATTGACCCAACCTGTGAGTCCTGCAAAGCACTCGAGAAAAGCACGGGGTATGTGTGGCGATGAACTCGCAGAATTGAAAGCATGTGTTGGAATTTAATTGCTACTGAACTGGCTATTTGCTAGGGGGTGTGGCATTCCTTTGCTCAGCCTTTCAGCCGAGCTCGCTGTGTGAAAGGCTCAGCCTCGAATCGGACTTCTGGATCGCAGCGACCTTGGGAAGAACAAGCCTTCGCAACTAATCGAAACATCGAATCCTTCTCATTCCTCGCCTATAGATATTGCACAATTTGTGGGAGAAGATCCACCAGATCTTGTCCTCCTTGATTGCTGACAGGCAAGCTCAGCATGGGGGACATGAGCATGTTTGTTCCGGCCATGCGCAAGAATCATTCCACCAAGGCACTTGGTACGAACAGGCAAGGCGGCAAGAACTGGGATTTCGGAAAAGGATGTGCTGGCTTTGCTTTGCGATCACGCCAGAGCCAAGTCGCCACGCGGTGGATTGATCATGGTGTGAAGGCAAAGCACATCAACACCAATCTTGCACTGTGGTTGTCCTCATCTGCCTGGCTCCAAGTTCTTTAAAGGCCCAAGCCATATTCTTTTGCATGTTGCTTTCCTTCATTCAATGTCTCAGGCAGGACGGTCTACGCAGGCACGAGACATCCATGAGTGGTCCTCATATGTCCTCGTAGCTTACTGTGTACAACAGGACTTAAGTAAAGCCACAGCTTTGTGTGCCGTGTCCTTCCTTTGAGCCTGCAGGTTTCACTTCAAATCATTCAAGACAACTGTTCCATGAGTAACCCCGCATGGGCGACAGGTCTTGTGCGTAGTGTCCTTTGTCCTCGCAGATGCCAGCCGAAACCTCATCAACGCTTGGGCCGGGCCCCTGGATTTTTTGGTTGTCGATTCCACCCAGCTCACTCACCGCTCGTGAGAATCAAGCGCCCTTGGATCTGGGGAGCCATCAATTCTTTGCAGACTGAGAATTTAGATGAATTCTGCAGATGTGCGGAATTTGGTGAATCTTGTTAGGCCTCAATCCCTCCCAATATTTTCTATTATATACTGTAGATTCTCGCATATCTGAAATTATTTCAATTTCAGCCTGGCCAAGGCTATCAAAGACACTCCTATAGTCCAGCAGTCTGTGGTTTGGGCGCTCTCTGCATCATCAATTCCAATTGGAATTGTCATGTCTGGACTCCTCGACGGGCGAGAAGGACCTGTATGCGTTTATGCATCTTAGTAATGGTTCCGCTAAATTTTGAAGAAGCTCTTCAAGCCAAAAAAGAAATTGGGTGCTCATTTCTCACGCTCTCCGCGAGGAGCTCGGGATTCCTTGCTTTGGAGAGACGCCTTGACGCTGGGAGACCAAGATTTGATCTGGTGTTCCGCAAGCTGATGCGATTCCCAATGATGGCTTTAGTGGTATGGGGTCCATGCCTCTCACGAGAAGTTCTGCAACTTTCTTCACAGTCAGAACCATGGAGGAAACGCTTTAGTTTGTTCCATGGCTTACAAACACATTTTGTAACAACATGCCTCGTTGAGGTGCCTCCCTGTTGCTGCTTGCTTCTCCTTTGGCCAGACCCTGCAGATCAAAGCTCCTTGGCCTGAACAGCTAATACTGCTGAATACTCCTTAGACATCTCTAGACTAGAGCCTTTCGACGAGTTCTAGCGTGGCATGTTCGCCATTGGCTTCGCAGGCCTATGGCGCCGGGATTAGCGCATCCGTGAACACCGTCTTGGGGCCTTGGCCTCGACATGCAGACGACAAGACGGGTTCTTCCGACATCCAAATGTCAGATGGACGTGTTTTCCGTGAAAAGTGGCCTGAAGTTCTCTAGAAAAGGGCTGCCATACCATACCGTACCACCATAGGTGCCACAGGACCTTTTCTGCCACTGTCGGTGGTTTGCAGATTGGTGATGCTTTTCCGACTTTGCTTCAGATACTTCTACATGCCTATGAGTGCCTTGTTGAGTCGCTGGGTGTCCTGTCCTCAGAGCGAGTATCAACATGGTCGCTCGATGACTGGATTTGATCCAAGCGTCCTTGGTCACGCAGTCGTTTTGGAACTCTTTTGTGCTATTTGATGGTTAAATGCTCTCAAGGTTTCAGCGTGCAGGGAGGCCCGAGAAACATTAGAAAGGAACGACTAGCAATATGGTGAAACAAGGAATGTTCCCATTTTGCCCTGCAGCCCAGGCGTACAGCCGTTTGGAATGGCTAGCATTGGCGCTGCTGTACTGAGCTCGGGGAAGATGTGCCCTTTGAAGTTCTACATATGCGCAAGAATCCAAGCTATCCAGCATATTGAGGCAGACATGTTCAGACTAAGGTCGCTGACTGCGGTTGTATTTTGCTTGTTGAGGAGCGGCTATCCGGTGCCTATACATTTAAACCATTGAGTGAGCACAATTGAATCAGATGTTGATGTTGAATCATTTTTATTTAATATTATATTATACGTATAATGTTAATATATTATATATGTACACATTACATTGTTAGTATCATTATGTTATATACATTATCATGATTATATACTGTATGTTTGTGTTCGCCGGACCCAGGCTAACTCTGAGAATCTTGGAAATAATTAAAGCAAACAACAAAAAAACAAATCAAACAGCAAATGAAAAAGCAAAAACAAAAAGAAAGCAAATCCAAAAAAAACAAAAACACAACAAATCCGAAAAGTAAAAAATACAAATGAAAAAAGAAATCCAAAAAGCAAAACAACCGCACATGAAAACACAAAAGCAAAAAAATCAAATAAACGAGAGCAATTTTCCGTTTATTTTTGTGTGTTTTTCATGTTTTGTTCCGCTCTTTTTTGTTTTTGTTTTTTTTCATGTGTGTTTTTCTTTTTTGTTCGCTTTTTTGTCGCAATTTGCTGTTTTTTGCTTTTTGGATTTGCTTGTTTTTCTTTTTGCTTTTTCATTTGTTATTTGTTTGCTTGTGCTTTTTGTAGTTGTTTTTGGGCTTTTACTAATATTTGGCAAAACCATGCTAAGTGGTTAACATAACTGTATGTACTTGACCCTTGACCCTTGTGAATGATTATCCTAGTCATGGCATCACTTAAGTTTGCGTTAGGTCAATTAAACCAAAAAAATACTTTTGATTTGATATGCTAGGACGGCGACTCACAGTATCTCACTGCTCACCTGCCGACCTGACACACAAGGAGCAGCAGATCCACTGAAGATGCAACCAGCACTCTGGCGATTGCTTGCTGCGTTGGCTCAGTCAGGTCCTTGGTGAGATGCGATCCTGCCTCTCCATGACAGCATGATGACTGCGCATGAATGCAAATCGAGCACACTCTTGCAGCCACACTCATTTGATCTACAATTTTTCAACCGTTGATGTTCAGTGCTGAACTGCATCTCGGATGACTCGGCGTGTTTGTGTGGTAGTGCCCAAAGTCCACGATGAGTCATGGAATCGATATGTGATTCTCAATCGGTCTTGTCATACTCCGTTCTGTTTTTGATGTTTGTTTCTGAAATTCTGAAACATTATTTGTTTAGTTTGGCTCGTGGCCATTGCTTGTAGCTATTCCGGTGCAAGTTGTGTTTGGCTGCGGGGCATGCCCCAGAATATGCGAAAGGATAATTTGGACATTCAGACTTTTTTCAGAGATACAACTTCCCTCGGTTGCCATAAAGTAACATCAAGCAACGCTGTTTGGGTTCGATGCACTGGCCTGGAAATCCGTTGGAAGACGGATCTTCAGACCTGGTCCCTACCATGCAGAGTCTTTTGCGGTCCGTTTTCAGACTCGTTCGAAGTATCGCACACATTTGGGTTCCTCTCGTTTAGTCAAGCCTGATCCAATGATATTGAATGTGCGTTTTGTTCGGACGCTTCGTTCTTTGACCGCGTGGCACTCCTGTTGGGAACGATTTCATTGTTCACGTTTGGACGAGTTTCCTTGTCGCTGCCGATCCATTTCTCGCCTAACAATGCTTGATGAGAACCCTACGTGCTTTGGTATTCTTGGAGATGCCTTCAATTCGTGCAATGCCTTCAGGTAGTGTCCTCGTGCATTGGCTCGCTGATGTGTGAAAAGATCATGAAGGCCCGGAGGAGTTTTGCATTGAGTAGTCAATTGAGCTGCCCAGCAGCTCTATTCCAAGGTTTCCGCACGTTTCCGCCATGTCTAGCCAAACGCGATTTTGACTGTTCATTTGTGCTGTGAATTCTCCATGGTGCCCTTGTCCGCACTGTCTGTCAGGCTCGCCCCTACCCCTTCTATACTCAGAAGGCTGGCAGCACATTCGACTGCAAGAAAACTGACCATGTCAGATTATTGTACTCATTCAGGATATATGCCTCGGTTGAGGATTTTTGAGGCTCGACACCTCAACACATAGGGAGCAAGCAAAAAAGACAAGTCAAAGCTTTGGAAAGCCATCAATAAATTTGGCAGTCCCTGACCATGAAGAAAACAATGTTGTTTGTTATGCTGATCGCTTTTGGTCCCCATCATTTGAACGTTTTGACGTGCCTTATATATATATAACTATATATATATATATTTATTTAGTTTATATATCGTATTGCATAGGGTGTCGCCAAGTGATTGAAATTCCTGAGCACGTTCATGGGTCTGCACGGGGTTGGATTCCATGTTGGGATCAATTGCGAGGGTATTGTGTTTCAATAGGTGGCAACTCAGGGGCAACAAATTGTAACTAGAGCGGGGGTCCTTCAAAAAGTATCACACCCTGCGGTGCATTCTTTGGCCTTTGGTGGCCAACGCCCATGACTTCTCACCAGAATGCTCATATTGTGGTGCTTCCAGATGGGGTGGCTTTTGGAAGGTAGGGGCCCATATCCACTAATACGGGGTCTAAAAATGCAAAGATTTCTTTGGAACGCTGAAGCGCCACACTGTTTCGTTTCTTTATTTGGCCATCTCCATTCGTGCCAGGTCCACTTAGAGTTCGGTGGCCTGGCCACAGCCACGGCCATGCTCTTTGTGGTGGGGACCTGATGGGACGTTGGATGCGCATGGTATGTAGACTACAGGTATGATTCGGGCTTGCTACAGCTTGACCTTGTTTCCCGCACGCTTCTGGGTACTGGATGCAGATGAAGCTTGTAAATATGAGGGAGTAGTCGACAGTTACCAATTGCCCGGGAAGTCATATATTGGATGTGGTTGCAGACAGTTGCGATGTGTTGGTTGGAGATCATTTGGGGAGTGTGGCCATGAACGTGGTCTCAGCCACAAAACTGGTCATGCTTTTCTGTGTGACTAGGTTGGCAGCCTGAGCTCCCGCCCGGAAGATGCTTTTTGGAAGCAACGTCCAGCCAATGGTCAAATGGAGGCGGCCACAAACTACAGAACGTCATGCTGGAGCAAGGTGTTTGAATATTCCAGTTTTTTGAATCTATTGCCAAGCAATGTGCGCCGTGGAGCTATCATTGGTTTATCATCCCAGCCATGCCATTTTTGTTTCCAACAGGCACATACGGCTTAAGCAATTTCTACTGCACATAATATTTCTGGAACAGGTGCGGGCAGGTGGTGTCAAAGCAATTGTCAAAAGGATCTCACCGGGCGGGCGTGTATGAATCAATCGGAGGGGTCCAACATGGCCTAACTTGAGGTGTTGTAGAGTTTATCTCAAAGTCTTGGACAGTACTTCAAGAGTTTAACACCAATTGAATTGAATTGTTGTTCCTCAGAAAAGCCAAGACCGTAAAGTTCATCTAAAGCATGTTTCGGGGCGGTTGGTCATTTGGACCATGGGTCGGCAGGGAAAATTCAAGAGCTGAAGTGTTGGCTCAGCGAAGTAGATGCAGGTGGGAAGTGCGGCTTCACGGGTGTTGGAGCACCCTGACGTCCTTCCTCCAACTGCAAACAGATTGCCAAACCACTAGCCTGGGCCAGGCTGGGTTGTTTGTTGGCTGGAGCTACAAGACGGCCGCGGCACTGACGGTGCCTGCCTGAATCGAGGGAGACAAACACTTTGTTGCCAGCCGTTTGAAGTCTGTGCGTCAAGGACTTTAGCCATTTCGTCGCAAGCAGCATAAACGAAGACCATGATCAGGGTCATTGCAACATGCTGTGAGGCAGCTGCGTTCCAGAGCTGGCTTGGTGGACTCGTCTCGAAGCGCTGGGGACCAGTGAGTCATGTTCGCTTTGAATGCCAATGCACAGCACACTGCCATGATTGCCAACATCATCGCATAGAGATCACTGGCAAGCCGCCGGCTTGGAACATGTCGGCTAAGGCCTGTCGACCGTGGTACGATCAGTGGCGCAGCGCTGTCCCTGTTTGGGTTTTTCTTACTGTATAGTGTGCATGCTTATTTTCCCGCTGGTGTTGGGGGGGTTTGGCTAGCGGGCTTGACCCAGTGACAGTTATAGCTGAGCAAACTGCAAAGCAACTGTGTTTGTTTTGCTCACAGAAGGTGCCGGCAAATTATGGTCATCAGTTCTATGCGGTGATTGGGCCTTACCGAGCAAAAAAGAAATGGATGTGAAGTGCGCTGCAGTTTCACGGCACATTGGGAGCTCCTAGCCAGCCCACCTAGGTGGAAAGGACGCCAAGCAGACCAAGAGAACCCATTGAAACATGCGGTTGTGTGTGTATATGTATATATATATATACAAATATTGAGTTAACCATGGACATGAAGAGTCCTGCAGGGCTGAAGGGTTGAAATTGTCCTGGTTACAGGTTGGCCATGCGACTTGCCAGGCAGTGCTGCTCACTCCTCATCATCTATTTCTTGGGCGACTTGGTGCCCATGCAGAGTTGAGTGTGTTGACCAAGACAAGACCCGGTGTCGTTCAAGAGACATTGAAGATTCAAGAAATTAGAGCCTCAACTGAAACAACTGATCCAAGAGCCTTTCAGCATAGGAAACATTGAGACAATGTTGGCCTAGGAATAGCAGTCTACCCCTAAATAAAGATAAACTAATAAATAACTCCCTCGGGTAATTAGCAATCTAACCCTAAATAATTAGCCTGTTTGGGAAAACATAAAGAAGAACACATGTTTTTGTAAAGCTATGTGGCTATGTGTATTCAATGACTCATTTTGTAAATATTCAGTGCTGTCTCAGTTGAATGTGTTCTTCTTTTCTTAGTGCTTTTTTTATGCGCATTTGTTCAGTTATTCATTGCTGTCTCATTAAGATTTAATTGCATTCCTATTCATGTGTCAATGGTTTCCGGTGGAAGGTGCATAAATTTGCTTCATTCCGTGTTTTGCTGATTCCGTGCTTACTGGCACCACACACTAATAACTCGTATGCTAAACATTTTCGCTGACATCCTTAGCTTAGCTGTATTTCAGTTATATAGTGTTTGCCTTTTATATATGTGTAACTTTAATGTGCTCCTTAAGGTTCATTCAGTTCTTTCCTGCTTCACAACTTGAAATCCGCGAAATCCAAAACCTGTTGGTCATTTTGTTCTAAATCCCTGACTCAAAAACAATCAACAATTACCAAACATAGATCTGGAAAGGGGCACCCATGAAGCCATCATACTGCAAACACAAAGTCACAAAAAAACGTGACCCTAAGTAAAGCTAAAGGTTTTTCCTTTGCTAAAACACCCTTAGCTTGATTTAGTGATTGTGACTGTCATTTCTTTAAGTACTCTTTGGCTACTTCTGGTTGGACTGAAAAACAATCCCCATGGCTGGACTGAAATACACTTTCTCAATCCTTTCTTTTGGGCCCAATGGTTCCCACTTGGCTCCAAGAAGCCTCGTAAACACTAATCTACATTCACAACCCTAATTCCCACCAACAAATTCCCGAATACTAATTAATCCCCTGTCATCTCCATTTCCAGAAACATTTCACTCCACAATGCTGCAGTAACCCTCCTTCATTTTGATTCCAGAAAAATCCCCACAGTACAAACCCCCTTTCATCTCCATTCCAAGAACACCCACCCCGCATTACTCGCTAATTAGAACCATTTATTGATTACGTAATGTTTATTTCGGAGTAGAATAGGGGTGTTGTTTACTAATCAATGGACATTACTGATGTGGCCCTCAACAACCCCACAGCAAAGCTGGCCCAATGTGACTTGCACAGAACAAGTGTTTTGGCTGTTTACCGCTCAAATTTGCTCGACGGTCCACTGAAGCAGGGCGGCGTCATCCCTGAGCCGCTATTTGACTGAAACGTTGGGCGCTGGCTGCTCAGAATGACGGATGCTGTAGAATGGGCCACGATGAAAGCCTCGGAGGGAGTTATGAGCGGACAGATTAATGAGCACTGGCTTTTCTGTATTCCAGTGCAAGTTGGTCCTGCTACAGAGTACGCACGTAGTGTAAGACATTGGTATGCCTTTATCATCCTGCTGCAAGCTGCGCAAGTGGTTGCCCAGCTAATCATCAAGACTGATTTGCTTCAGTCTGTCTTAATGGCGGTTTCAGTCTTGCTCGGCTTGTATGGTTGGTATCAGGATTTGAATATCACCTGGGTTTGTTTGTGGGGCCTGATCTCGGTCGTTCTGGGAGTCATGGCCATCATCTCAGAGTTGATTCCGGCCATAACTGGGGTTCTCAGCTTCGATATTTTCGGTCTTCTTCTCATCATCAGTGTGCCTTTGGTGTACTTCCTAGCCGCGGCTTTCTCGTGGCATCTTTACAATGACTATGCTGCGGATCATGGACGAGCAGCTTCATCCTTTGACCCTTTCGCCAAATATAGCAAGTATGACCCTTTAGCCAAGGTGCCCATGTCAGCGACTTAGACGGCAAGTGGAAATCAATTTCTTAGTTGACAGGCACCCCTGAAATGTCCGGACCAACTTTTCTGCCTTTGATTGTGATTGGTTGACCGTGAAATCCGAAGGACAGCATCATGGACCAGACTGCCGACCGCCTGTTTGATTCCCACACACCCGGGGCTTTTAGCTACGGTGCTGCAGAGACGCGGCGAGAGCGCGGCGGGATTTGCTGCTAGCGGCCCTCATAGCTCAGTTGTGCCTTGGTTTCACAGACCGCTTGAAGGGGAGGAGGTGAAGCAGTGATAGTTCCTGAATAATCATGCACAAGTGGCGTGATGGCTGCGATGATGTCGTGCCTAGCTTGGAAACATGCGGAAAAGGTGCGTTTATTGATAAGGGATGCCCTGCCAAAAGGAAACCACCGAAGTTCATAGACCCATTGCAAGTCAGATTAGGTGCAGGCTCAACCTAGGACAGAGTTGCGAAAAGATTGGTTTCAATGCGTGAGTGCTTCGTGCAGGTACTCAGAGGTTTGCCATTTGATTGGATTGTTGGGGCAGCAGCTGTTGTGGTTGCACTGAGCGTCCAGGCAGAGAACTCAGACTATCAGTTTTAATTGACTGCTCTAGGTTGGCAATATTAAGCAGGTTACCATGAGAAGGCTGTCTCAACACTAGCTCCACTAAGGAGGTTTTACAGTAATTGGCACTGCTGTTGGGACCAGGACATTTGAAAGGACCTCCATGTCAACAGACTGGGCCACGGCAGCTTCCAAATTCTCCAGTGTTGCTGGTTGAGGTCTTTACCCTCGCAGGCCGCAAAAGGACCGAATTCCGGAGCTTTCAAATTGCAAATGAACCAGCAGAATGCACCTTTCTTTGCCAAACATGCAGTGTGGCAATCATGGGCTTCGCTCCGTCTGTGGTTTCACACCAATGCACTGATGGACGTATGATTTACAATTTGCCTACTCGCGCCCTATAACATGTATACGATGGTAACGCTCCCCAGATTATTCACACAGGTCACAAGGGGTAGCAGAAATACATGGTTCATCATGGTTCGATGCAGATACGGTATTTCGATTGCATCAGCTTTGTTCCCCACCTGCCAGGTCAGGGTCTTTAGATTTTACTAGGGTGTTGCTCCGCCTTCCTTCCTCGCACTCCCTCCTCCTGTGATGTTGTGATGTCACAGCGCCTGAGTGGCAGCACACCATAGAGAGCGGCAGCTCAATCTTGGCACGCGGACCTGCACACCATAGAGAGCTTCAGCCGGAACATTTGCCAGATAGGTTCCCGGAAAGGATGTCGGAACATATGCGGCAGAATGCCATATACGTCCGTAATGTACATATAGAATGCCAAAACATATGCCAGAAACTATGTCAGAGCTGTTGGAACAAATGGCAGGCTTGCTGGCAGAAGTCGGAACTTCGAACCGAAACCCCACTGTATGTCACAGCACATGTCAGACTTCATGGCAGGACCAGCTCAAAGCACATGCCAATTGGACGCCGCAACGCGATCCAGAACATTTCCCAGCGTTTTATGATGGATGATGTGTCACAACACATGCCAGAACAAGTGTCAGCGCGTTGTGTCTGTGCACGTCTCAGTCCGCGTTTGTCAGGATATAGTTTGCGAATACATGTGCCCTGCCTTCTTCCAAGTTACCTCTCAAGATGGATTCTTTTTGCAATGCTTAACTTTAAAATGCAACTGAACATGGTTCACTTTGGTGTGGGTAATATGGGGTAATGCAAACCTGCAACTGTTCAAAACTTACTGTCACTATGGTGAGCAATGCCTTCGAATGCTCCGCCAAGAGGGGGCTTATCTTGTGATCTTGTGTGCATATTGCACGCAAATACACGTGTTGCTATCAAATAGGGAACAGCTTGCAGCGACGACCTAACGCCCCCTTACCATGCTATGTGCCTGAGGGAGCCGGACTTGGCACCTTGGGCACCCGGTTTTGCCTCAGGATACGCGAAGGAGGGAACTGAGCCAAACCATCGGCAGCACCACATGGTGCCAAAGAATGCCAGGAGGTTTGCTTTGAAGCCCAGGGTCGCACAAAAAAAAGCCTCGGACAACAGGATATTCCTTGTGGCTTGCTGAACTTTTTCGAACAGATATATATACAGTATATATACACATTATATACATGTAATTTATTTAACTGTTTCTCTCTGTTTGTATATATATATAACCAGTCTTCAGTTTGAAATTGTGCGTGTTGTGTTTGGCCCTCGTTGCTTGGAGACACCTTTTCAGTTTCCACCTGAGTCCCGAACATCACCAGGAATTTGTGCAACTTGCAAACGGACTTTGGATTCTGGGAGTCCGGTGGCTCTGATAAAATTTTGGAGAAAACACTGAAAACACAGGAACACTCATCAGCAACCACACTGTGGGTGGAACAGCGTGTTTGCATGTGGTTTTCCACCCACTTTCTAACCTGCAACATTTGATCATTGGAGCCTTTAGCCTCCTCCGCCGAAATTTGCTTGCCATGGTGGATCACGTGGTTCTCAACGCCTTCAAGCGCTTCGACCAGGATGGCAGCGGCTGCATCTCGCGCGAGGAGCTAGGCAGACGGAGTTTGGGTTGGGTCTTTATGTTGGAGATATTGTTTTGGTATGTTTTGGTTGAAGGACACCAGGTTGTTGCATTATAAATTTGGAAGATGTGCTCTTATTGTTTTTTTTTTTGGACAAGGGTACAAAGATTGACAAAGCTGAAGGAACCATCACGAGAGCAACTTGTTCACCCCTTTCTGTAGGCACTGTGTTGCAGTCATTGAATCCAGATGATTGGGACAGTGAACGCATCGACGAATTGTTGGCGGAAGCAGATTCTAGTGGAGATGGCAAGTTGCAGATCCAGGAGTTCCTGAAATGGATTTTTGCTGAAGAGCCTTGCAAGATCTTGCAAGCAAAAATAGACACAGTCTTCTTTCAGACTTTTCTCCTTTCATATTGGGTGCTTGGAGTATTCGGTGCTTGTGTTTCTTCTCGCACACCTCAGGATCCCAAGAGCGTTGGACTTGGCTTGGGCGTCGTGGGTGATTTTTCCTACGTGATCTCTGGGTGTTCGCGCGCAGACATCAACGGGGTCTATGTTCAGCAGGGCAAATTCTGCAGTCATCGTCCGGTCTTCTTTTGCGCTGCCAACAAGTGCCTTAAACGCAGAAGATTTGTTTCTCATCTTAGACGCCTCCCAAGGACCAAAGGAAATTCATGAGAAGATATCTCACCATGTCTTAATTTCGAGTAGAGATCCAGCAAGACTGAGTTGCAGGTATTTTCTGTTCTACTGGAAGGCACGTGAACAATGGCAGATCCACAAGCGTCCTGCCGGCAAGTCTTGCGCCCGGTTGAAGACCAGTGGGGCGCCTCATTTGGAAGCAGGTTGGCAGGTTTGGAAGAAGAAGGAGCGAAGTCTACGCTGTGCATTTCTCCCCGAGCCAGAGATGACTTGCAGTTTGCCTCCGGCGTTGTCAGTTGAAGAACAGATTCTCGAACAGATTTGGAGAGCTTATGAGATTTATATATGAGGGTTTCACGATATGATTCTCATAGAAAGGCCCTTGTTTTGAATTGTGTGGTTTCGACGTTTGTTTTTGCCCTCCCTAGTCACCAGGATCGCGAAGGCCCCCAAGGCCATGTTCGTAAAGGAGTACGGCACCTTCCTCAAGGATTCGAAGGAGCTGTTTGGAGGTCGACCGTTGTACTACAACGAGGTCTACCGGCATTATGGTTATTTGTTTACATGTTCTTATCTCTTTTTAAAGACCGCTCTGCCCCCCAACCTAGAAGCAATTACCTCCAACCTAATAGCGATGCTCCGACCTAAGAGTGAGGTTTTCAAGATGTGGATGATGTACGTGGAGAAGTTTTTGTATTGGAAGTTGTCGTACGACAAGGACGATGATGCAGGCACAGAAATCAGTGGCAAGACTAAAGGATATTCTCCAGATTTGGCGACTTGGTCAAAGGATGGCCTCATGATGGACGTGTTCGCTTTTGACCCCGATGCCACTTTGAATGCACAAGTTCCCGAGGGATGGAAGGATCCTGACTTCCCACACTCCAGCGAAAGTCTTGGGCAACGCTTCGCGGATGAAGAATGTGAGTGGGTCAGGGCTTTAGCCTTGTCCTCTAGTCCAGTGCTTTTCAACAAGGCAGAACCCACTGATGCATGTCAAGGTCAGCTTGGGGATACCTGGCTGATTGCTGCAATCGCTGCAGTGGCCGAATATCCCAACTACCTGAAAGAGAAGATTTTCATCACCAAAGAAGCAGCTGCTGATGGCAAATACGAACTACAACTCTTTGATTGGAAGAGCACCAAGACTTGGAAGACTATCCAAGTTGATGACTATCTTCCCTGTGTTCCACGCAAGGGCAAGGCACCCTTCCAGCACACCATGTTCGCAGATCTCTCAGATGGCGAGATGTATGTGCCGCTTTTGGAAAAGGCCTTCGCCAAGCTTTTCGGCTCCTACCAAGAGCTGCACTACGGCACGACCCCCATGGCCTTTGCGGCCTTGACAGGTTGCACCATGGTGCAGCGCTTTGGAGCATACCTGGAGAATGTCCGCGCATTGACCAAAAGCTCTGGTGGCCTGGCTGAGTTGATGAAGGTGACACCAGAGCGACATTCCCCTTTGTGGCAAATCATGTTACTAACTCATTAACAATGCTAGCTGCTAGATGCCACTCGTCAAGACTGATCTGTTTACGGGGACAGGACCCCAAGACAAATCTCCTGGGCCTTCAAATGAGCAAGAGTATAAGTGCTCGATTTACTTAACGCGTGTATTGAGAGGAACTGTGCGAGCGCCCACCGAAGCTGACTGAAGCAAGGGATAGCAAGGGTATGTATATATATAATATATATATATATTTCCGGAGTGCGATTCTGTGCACTGGAAGTGCGGCTTGAATGAATGCCGGTTTTTAGCTTACACTGCTCGTTATAGCTAAATCTATTCGTTTGCCCTGAAACTGCCTGATTCATCAAAACGTGCTACAAAAAGCAGGTTGAGCACTTGTTTGTGCCTGCTCGAAGATCCAGGCTGAAGCAGATCAGCAGATTTCAGGAGTCGCCAACCCTATTAATGGGGGGATTTGGTATGCAGAGTCAACAAAAGTTTAATCTTTGATCGTTTCTTTGTTTTTGTGTTGGCTTGTTTTCTAGTGTTAGAATGCTCAAGTGCTGCTATACTGCTATATAGTATGGTATTTTGGAGTCGTGTTGAATCTAGAAGATCAATGTTTGTTCGTTGTCAGGTTGTCAATATTTATCCTCACTCCTTTGCAGCATGTTGCCAATCCAAGGTGGCAAATCTCTTTGGCAGGTCACTGGCCGGGGCGGCTTGACGGTTCGTGCCCAATGTGAC